CGTAGATTACTTTACAGGAAGTACTTGGCAACCTAAATGGCGGCGTTCGACATGGAAATATTAAAGAAAAGCTATAATTTACATGAGACTCGACTACAAAAGTAAAATCGAGTTAATTGGTACGCAGCACTAGTTTTCTGTGATACCACACAAGAAAAATTAGCCAGGGTTGGTGTTTTCAAAAATATGTCAAACTAAAAGGTACCTGGTGGGTATCCGTGCGTAAGCGCGCCCCTTATAGAAACGTCACAGAATAAAGACACGCCAGTGTGCTACCAACCAGCAAGTTGTTTCATTCACTCGCGTCCTCATATCTAACAGTGGCGACGATTACCCACATGTAATAAAAAAAATGGCTACATCGACTTTCGGTATCCTGTCGGCTTTTGACCACAATATCCAAACTTGGGAAACGTACAAGTGTCGGTTATCCCAGTGGTTCATCGCTAACGACATCGACAAGAGGACAGATCCCACAGGAATTAAGAGGCGAGCAATTCTGCTTAGCGCACTCAGTGACAGCACGCACAAGCTGGCGGCGGACCTCGCGCTGCCTAAGCTCCTGCAGGACGTGCCTTACGACGACATCCTCACGCTTCTGGACGGTCATTTTACTCCGAAGCGCTGCGGATTCGGCGAGCGTTACAAGTTTTACGCCGCCACACAGCAACCGGCGGAGACGTACGCCCAGTGGGCTGCGAGACTCCGCGGTTCGTCGGCGCATTGTGGTTTTCTCAACGTGGAGGAAGCACTCCGGGACCGGTTCGTCATGGGAATGATCGCGGGGCCGGAGAAAGACAAGCTGTTCGCACAGGACCTCAAGGACCTGACTCTGGCCAAGGCGGTCGAGTTGGCGGACAGCGTGAGCAGCGCGCGCGCCGGCGCCGCCGCCGCCGCCCCGCGGCCGGCCCACGAGCTGTTCAAGATTGAGCCGGCGGCGCCGGCGGCGCGGCGGCGCGCGAACGCGCCCACGGCTAGCGTCCAGGTGCAAAAAGTGCAGTGCCAAGTGTGTGGGTTTTATAACCACGATACGTCACAGTGTCGGTTCTCTAAATATAAGTGTAAAAAGTGCAATTCTACCGGTCATTTACGTAGGATGTGTAAAAAAATTAACTATGTAGCATGGAGTGCCGGGGAGGAGGGCGGTAATGACGACGGTGAGTTTTTTAATATTCGTTCAGTGAAAGGGGAACCCATGACCGAAACGGTATGGATATCAGGAATTAAACTCAAATTTGAAATAGATAGCGGGTCGGCGGTCACGGCGATATCCGAAGGTACATTCAAAAAATATTTTAGCCATGTACCATTGTCAGCGACTAAAAAACGTTTGTTTTCTTACACCGGAGGTAGGATAGATTGCATAGGAGAAGCATTGTTAACCGTTAGTTATGCGGGGCACACACATACACTCAATGTGTGCGTGATACGAAACGGTGGACCTCCCATTGTAGGACGCGATTTTATCGCGATGTTTAAATTAGAATTACAGCCTATACGGTATTGTGCGCAAACAGTCGATGATAGTGTGTTGATGCAATTACAATCACGTTACTCGGATGTATTTTCGGACAAACTTGGGCAATTTAAAAAATACAAAATCACTTTGCAATTGAAAGAAAATGCAAAACCTGTTTTTATAAGAGCTCGGCCCATAGCTTTCGCTCTAAAGGACAAAGTAGATAAGGAAATTGATCGGCTGTTGACGTTAGGGGTTTTGAAACCGGTTGATCACGCGCGTTATGCGTCACCAATCGTACCCGTGTTAAAGCGTAATGGGTCAATTAGGATTTGTGCCGATTATTCCACCGGTATAAATAAACAGTTAATCATCGATCAGTACCCTTTACCTACAGTTACGGAATTGTTTGCTAAGTTGCATGGAGGACAACAATTCACTAAATTAGATTTATCGAACGCATACAATCAATTCGTACTAGATGATAAATCACAAGAGTTGACTTGCATTAACACGCACCGCGGTTTGTTCAAATATACGCGCATGGTGTTCGGGCTCGCGTCCGCTCCCGCCTTGTTCCAGCGCGCGATGGAGACAGTCCTGGCGGGCACGCCCGGCACTCTGTGTTTACTCGACGATGTCCTTATCACGGGACGTGACCGTGCCGAGCATTTGCAACGACTTAATGTCGTTTTACAAAGGTTACAAGACGCTGGCCTAACCTTACAAAAAGATAAATGCGATTTTTTTAAAGACGAAGTAAACTATCTTGGCTACGTCATAAATAAAAAAGGCATCAACAAGTCGCCGCAAAAAGTAAAAGCTATGGTAGATGCGCCTGTTCCAAACAATGTTAAACAATTACAATCATTTTTAGGATTAGTAAATTATTATCGCAATTTCGTGCCTAACGCGTCCGCCATTATGTGTCCATTGTATGAACTATTAAAAACAGGTACTAAATGGTGCTGGACGCCTAAGCATGACGAAGCTTTTATTAAAATTAAAGATTGTTTAGCTTCAGAACAAGTTTTGGCTCATTTTAATCCGAACGATACTCCTGTTTTAACGGTAGACGCATCTCCATCGGGCTTGGCTGCGATTTTGGGCCAAATAGGGCCCGACGGATCCGAGCGCCCCATTTCATTTGCGTCAAGAACGCTCAACGCGGCTGAGAAGCGGTATTCGCAGATTCAAAAAGAAGCTACTGCAATAATTTTTGGCGTAAGGCGGTACCACCAATATTTGTATGGCAGAGCGGTCCCGTTTATTCTCCGTACCGACCATAAACCGCTGTTATCTATTTTTGGCCCATATCGTGGCATACCGGAGGTTACAGCGAATAGGTTACAAAGGTATGCCATGTTTTTAAGCGGCTATAATTATCGTATCGAATACGTTAAGAGTGCCGATAACAGTGCAGATTTTTTGTCTCGTGTCAGCCTGCCCGAGGCGCCGGAGACGCCAGAAGGGGAGGGAGACGTGCGTTGCGCGGACGCCGGGGCTGCAATCCTCGACCGAGCGTCATATGTAAACTTTGTAGTGGAAGGGAGCCTGCCCGTAACATTAGAGCAATTACGCGAAGAAACTAGTAAAGACGTCACATTGAACAAGGTTATAACTTTTGTCTTTAACGGTTGGCCAAAGAAGACGCAGGACATAAATTTAAAACCATACCATGCGTGTAGATTGCAACTTTCGGTTGAGAACGGGTGCCTGATGAGGGGTCATAAAGTTGTAATCCCGCAAAAATTACAAAATGCGATACTGACGGAATTGCATCAATCCCATTTAGGTATTGTGAAAACGAAGGCGGAGGCCCGGTCGAGGTTGTGGTTTCCTGGAATCGACGTGTCGCTTGAACGCATGATAGGCTCGTGTGACGTATGCATACAGATGCGGCCGACTCCGGCGCGGGCGCCTATTGCTCATTGGGATTATCCACCACAGCCGTTTTATAGGGTGCACATCGATTTCCTCGGTCCAATCAATGGTTGCACGTATTTAATCATAGTTGATGCGTATTCAAAATGGGTAGAGGTTTATAACATGAAATGCGCCACCACATCAACCGCTACCATTGAAACGTTATACGATTTTATGTCACGTTTCGGGATCCCACATACATTAGTCAGTGACAATGGTACATCATTTACTTCTCGCGAATTCGAGTCATTTTGTAAGTTGAATGGTATATCGCACGTCACCTCACCAGCATACCACCCGGCCAGTAACGGACAGGCAGAAAGCTTTGTCAAGGTCATCAAAAAAGGTATTAGGACAAGTATCCTAAGTGGGCATGGAGTACATAATACAAACAATAAACTTTTAAAATATTTGTTTGATTATAGAAACTCTGTACATACTACGACTGGGTTTTCTCCTGCCGAGTTGGTTTACGGTCGGAAACTGAGAACGCGTCTGGATCTAATCAATCCCACGTCACCACCGCCCTCTTGCACGACTCTCGCTAATGTTGTAAAAAACAATCAGTGTTTGCAGAATAAACAATATAAAAACACTCAATGTTTCTCGGAAGGCACCAAAATATTATACAAAAAATATACGTTTAATGGTAAATTCACGTGGTGCAAAGGTGTGATTGTAAAAAAAATTGGTAAAGTGGTATACGCAGTCAAGGACATTGAAACATTGTTAGTATTAAGGAAACACAAAAATCAAATTGTGCTGTACAAGGGTGGACATTGCTTCGATGTAAACAGTTGGGATGTAGACATGGGCGTACAAGGTCCTAATTTACCGTCGGGAGGGCAGTCAACTGTCGGTGGTGAGCGGCAAGCGCAAATTGCTGCGGGGGGGGAAACGCAGCAGACCACAGTGGAGTCAGATAGTCCTGGACCTGCTAAATCGCCGACAGTGCTCGATCAATATGGCACGGGCCCAGAGATGAGCGAGAGACAGAGCTCGCCAATGCCTTTGGCGTCTGACCGGGCTGAAGATGACGAGTTCCAGGATGCTGTATCCAGCCTTGCCTCCGAGCCGCCCTCTGTGGTGCCCGGTCCACCGACAGTTGATATGACCGCGTCTACATCTGGTCGTCCGAAGCGCAAAATACCGAGCGTAAACTATAAATTGTACTTTTAGTTTAAGTTATATATACTATATTAGATTAAAGGTTCGCTTACTTCAGCTAAGGGGAGGAATGGTGGGTATCCGTGCGTAAGCGCGCCCCTTATAGAAACGTCACAGAATAAAGACACGCCAGTGTGCTACCAACCAGCAAGTTGTTTCATTCACTCGCGTCCTCATATCTAACAGTACCCATTCACGCTATTGATTTTATAGAAAAATCGTTCACCAACAGGTAATATATATGTGAATGGTTTCAAGAATAGATTACACCAACACTTAAGTTTCAACTAATTTACTAAATATTTTTAAACTATAATGTCAAAGTGACATGTTGTACAAGAATGTTGAAATTACCAAGGAGAGAAGATAAATTTTGTTTTTGTTTTGGTATTTAAGAGATCTACCAAAAAAAATGTGTTACAAACTATCATGAAATTGTTCACCATGTTATTAACCCAATTTCAAGCAAACGAAGTTGTAGTTACGTGCTAATCATTGTTTACACGTCGTCGACCACATGAATTCATTTTAACTGCCTCTGTGGCCGAACGGTTACCTTGCTGGTCTGTCACGCAGAGATCTAGCTGAGAGAAATATTTGTATGTCCTACATTTACTTGTCTCGTGAGTTTGGGTGTAATTTGTAGTTGTCTATGCGTGTGTCCATGGCACCCGCGACACAGGGTTTCCCTATTACGGGGCTACAAGTGTGTGCGTGTTTTATTTATTTTTAAACCCGTTTTGTGGCCTGTTTGTACTACTTAGCAGCTTGTTGTAGCAGTAGAGCTGCTTGAGGAAAAGTTCGTCCAGGGTAGTATAGTCCATCATACCTATTTCTGCCGCTAAGTGGTAATGTCAGCATTACTGTGTTCCGGTTTTGAAAAGTAATGGTGCTGGTGAAATTACAGGCACAAGGGACTTGTCAACTTATGTCTCAGGGTGATCGCCCCTCAGATCTTTGCGATTTAAAGCTCTGAGTGGCACTGTAATTGTCATGGACAACTACCATCAGGCGCACGACTTGTTCGTCCCGTCACTTGATGTTATAAAAAAAAATACTTTTTAAGAAGCAGAAAGGTCAATACGGTAAATATTAATTTTTCCTTGCACTTGTACTTGTGTTTATAATATTCCTAACCAGAGACACGAAAAGGTAACTAACCCACACACTCAACATAGCCCCGCACTAGGGAAACCTGTGTCGCGGGTGCCATGGACATAGACAACCACAAATTACACCCAAACTCACGAGATAAATAATTGTAGGCCATACAACTATTTCTCTCGGTCCGGGAATCGAACGATCTTGAGCCGTTGCTTAAGTGCCGAGTGAACTTTATTAAAACATTTCTTGACAGCTCTCAAATGATGCGTAGTCAGTGAGTAATTGCAGATCTCCGCTCAAAACGATATTAATAGTTCCACACAATTCACTTAAATAATATCGAAATGTCGATTCTGCACTTGACAAATATTTATTAACGGGGGTTTAAATAATTCATAAAGATATTGAGTGAGTCATGGCGTTATTAAAATTAATAGTTAAAAAATAGAAATGAATAATATTATAAAAAAAACTTAAAACAGTCTTTCGTCTTTGATGAGCTGCTCCTATATTGGAAAAGAAGACGCTGATTTATTAATAGTGTTAAATTTTTCACACGCCCACAAAAAGTGTTATTATATGTCCATAAGAAGGGGATAAATACCGATTAGGTACAGTCCCATTGCCCTACTACGAACGCAGCTCAAATATCTCAATCTGCTATGATAATCTGTATAACTTAAATGAAAAATTTTAATTTGCTCAAATATTTGGGATTTAGGAATGAATTTGAATTTAAATTTGTATACTGGCTAGAAAATGTAACTAGCAACTTAACTTACTTATTAGACACAACTGGTTGAGGACTTTACCATCTCAGTCACTCGTGACGTTGGTTTGTTTGAAAAACAAAAAACAACGAAAAAACTAGTTTCATTTGATATTTACTGGTTTCCCCGCGCTAGGGAAACCCTGTGTCGCGGGTGCCATGGAATTTTACAAATTAAACACAAACTCATTAGAGAAATAAATGTAGGCCATACAAATATTTCTCCCGGCCCGGGAATCGAACCCTGGATCTCTGCGTGGCAGACCAGCATGGTAACCCTTCGGCCACGGCGGCAGTCAAACTTGCAACTTGTAAGTTATGAAGTTTTAAAAATACATTGAATAACACTATTAAAAACAATAATAATTTTTGTATAAAAATTAACATGTTTTTCCTGAAAAAAAAAACATGTGTTAGCAAGAACGACAGTCATTTGATTTGAAAAATGCTTTTGATGACCAGAGTTACATTCTAACAAAACCCTATTAAAAACTGCGCTACAAATATCAAAATAAAAAATTGTGTATTAACTACCTTGAAAATAGACAGAGGAAATTTCTGAAGATGGTTCAGGACATGGATACTGTACTAAAGCGTGAAGTTTCTATCATACTGAATAGTGGCTCCTCCCGATTACTATGGCATTTATGATAATTATTATTATAACAAGTACATGGCTACATAAGATATAATTTTTATTTATTATTAATTTTACTTAATTTCTCCCTATATGTGTGAAAACGAAATTTCGAAATAGGTAGGTATGATTCCACGAGACTCGCATGTGTCACGCGAGTCATAGAATGCCTTAATTGACACATAATTGAGGAACACGTTGTTGGTTCATATTTTTTAATCTTGCTTGTTCAATGTTTGTAATTTGTGAAGTAGGTAACTGTTTGTGTTTAGCTGATAAATAAATAGATAAATAAATAAATTTAATACTAAACATCAGAAATCGTAAACTCTGCTACATACTAATTTAAATTGGAAATAACACATACAGAAATTACTAAAGAAACTATCCCCTTTTATTTATACACTGCAACACCTCAAACGTGTAATGGACTTTAGAACCGCCCTAGCGTATTAAAACTGCCTCCGTGGCCGAACGGTTACCATGCCGGACTACCACGTAGAGGTCCTGGGTCCGATTCCCAGGCCGGGAGAAGTATGTTTATGGCCTATATTTAGTTCTCTTTAGGGTGTAATTTGTGATTGTCTAGTGTGTCCATGGCACCCGCGACACAGGGTTCGCCAAGTGTGGGGCTATAAGTATGTTGCGTTATTATTATTATGATTATTATATTAAAACGCATACTCGCATGAATACTACTACTTTAGGTTGTCATTTGTGGGAAAATTCTTGTCCAAATGTAATGTAGACAAAGTGTTCATTCTACAAAATAAGTGAATAAGTATATAATATCGAATGTAGATCAAAATATGGAATCTTGTATATCTCGCTTTCATAAGTATCGAATAGTGACCGTCACTTCCAACTCCATGATCGAGTCATGTAAATTCGTTAGGAAGCATCCACAGGTTTAAACATCTTTAACAAATGAGAAAAGAAATAACAGAAACTTAAATAAGCTTAGAATACCTTCTCCAAAATGACATTATTTACGTCTAGCCCCCACACCATGTTAATCAGAACGTACAACCACATCTCTAAAAACATTAAAAATTTGGATACCTACATAATTCAGCAAACAATTAAAAGCATTCCTTACCAAAAATGTTATTACGATTTGAACGAATTTTTCGGCGGTTTAAATCATGAGAACTAATAAAAATATTTCCACATCTATAATTATTGATTATTTAAAACGAATGTATTATGTGTGTTTTCTATAACTACTTAATTATTAATGTAATCTAATGTAAGTTATTATTACTTAATAATTATTGCGTTATAATTTAATGTAATGTAATAATTTTGTAGATTAATTTAAGATCTTAATATAGATATAATATGCAATTACGTTTGAATTTGAAAACAAATCAATCGCGCCATCGCATCATTTTACGTAACGTAATCTGCATAGATTCTATGTTACATAAATAAATTTTTATGAGTTCTTAGGTTTTCGCGATTGTTACACATAGGAAATGAAACTATTTTTCCGGATTTAAATCGCGTATATTTGCGTATATTCGCGTATATTCGCGTATATTAAAAGAAATATACGCGATTTAAATCCGGAAAAATAGTTTCATTTCCTAAATTTTTATGAGTTATAAATACAACAATGGATTAAATAAATTTTGATGATTCTTCGTGTCAACTACACTCATTAAACGTTTTTGTAGCGCGCTGGTTTCTTAACGATGTTGTCTAACAGTGAAAGACAACGTTGAACGAAACATTATTATCAGTAATCTAAACTCGATAGTAAACGATAGATGGCTGGAATCTGTGTGACTATTTTTACTTGTAAATTACGTATGTTTAATTTTATGAATGTTTAGAGCCCCGCACCCCACAATGCGACATGTAATTGCTTGATGCAGATTCCGGTTTGAACAGTTCAAACTGGAATCTGTGTTGAGGGTAAGTTACTCCCCATTAGATTGAGATGAAAAGTGCCAGAAAGCGCCAGAAACTGTCTGTACAAATCTTTATATTCGTGTAATAGCCAGGATTTCAGTGGCGGCACCATTACATCCGGGTTTATGGCTTCATTTTTGGTCGAATAACTATTGCAGCAAATTTTTGATAATTCTTTAGCTCCGACTGTTGTATTATGTTTTGTATTATAACTTGGTAAAGAATCAAAAAGAAGATTTTAGTAAATGAAATTTGGAATAGCTCCGACTGTTGTGGCGGTCGAGCTGGGAGTGATCGTGGTACGAAAACAATATGAGAAAGTGAAGGGAGATGGAACAATTCAAATTTAAAATTTAAATACATGTACAATAAGTATAATGATAGGATACAAGCGGAGAGAGGCGATACAAAGAGGTGAGATGACGGTGTAAGGAGATCACACCGTCACAGAGATAATAGATTGCTCTGTATTTATAGTCTGTCTTTTTTGAAGACAGAGTAAAATGATGGTTATTGCGCAAAAGTGTTGCGCGCTTGCGAGCAGCAGTCCGTAAAATATTCTAACGACTAAACACTAATCACGTTTGTGGAATAAACAGCCGCACTTTTTCATGAGAATCATCCTCGACTCGTTATTCATCCAATTACAGAGCACAAGTTCATTTTAATTGTCAATTTTAAAAAGTTTATACATAGGTTCAAGAGCACGTTAAGCTTGACATTTAGGAC